TAAGTTATATTTATCAAATTATTAGTTTATCTATAAATATACTATAAATATTATTGATATTAATTTATTAGTAATATTAAAGTACTAATAATATATAAAATTTATTTATTTAGTAATAATAAATATATATCATTTGATACATTAACAAAAATTATAATATACGTTAATTTAAATAAGCAAATTATATATATATATATTAAAATTTTAAAATTATTAAATTTTAATTGAGAAAGACTAAAATCGTACAATTATGATATTTGAGAGACTAAAATTGTTCAATTAAAAATTGAGGGACTAAAATTACATAATTGTAATCTTTTAAGGACTAAAATTACTCAATTAAAACCTTGGGGATCAAAATTGCACAATTACAATACTTGAGGGATCAAAAACACAATTAAGCCTTAGTTTTATAATATTTCTCTTAAAATAATTAATTGTTCGAAACATTGACCTAAGCTCAATTCATAGAATTGAAAATCTTACTCATGCGCATACATGGCATATATACTCTCTAATAATTTGAAGAGTCTTTTAAGTTTCAATTGGTCTCTTATTCTCTCTCGATATTATGTCATATAAAAATAAAAAGTTACTCATGAAAAGATAATTATTAAAAAATAAACAAAGGATAAAATGATCCATATAAAAATAAAAATAAAAAATAGTTATTGACAATGATATCCCTTTTATATATTAGTATTATCTAGTAGGAAAAAGGCACTACGTGTCTGCATTATATTAGAAAAAAGATAAAAAAATAAAAAATAAAAAACTACTCATAAAAAGATAATTATTAAAAAATAAACAAACAATAAAATGAAAATAGAACACAAAAAAATTTAAAATAAAATAAATTCTAATAAGTTATATTAACTTAAGATTATTTATATATTAATGTAACTTATATTTATTATAACGAAATTTTAACTATAATTAACAATTATTCTATAACAATTAACCTTATTATATAATTACAAATTTAATTATTAAGAGAGATTTTGTCTTGTTACTAATACTATAGTATTATAAATTATCAATACAATAAATTAAAAAATAATAATTAAGGTGTTAAAGAAAAAATATTATAATATACAACTCAAATATAAATTAACGAGCAGTGTGAGAAAAGTAATTTAAAATTAAAAAAGACAGCTACAGTGATTTATTATTCCAATATCACTCCCTTGAAGAAAAAAAAAATCCACGTAGACTACTCCGGTTCAAAACCTGCTCTTATATACAATGATCTTTTCTCTACTTAATCCAACGGCTAAGAAATGCTTCGCACGGTGGGGATATGTTGAGCCTATAATCCGTCTTGAAGAAGTCTTTTCTCTCTGGCGGAACCCTAGAAGCTTCTTCCGCTGCACTCCCTCCCGAGAACGAGATTTGGGATGTGGCCTGTGGGTTAATTGTTAAGTAACGAAATTATTAGGTATGTCCTCTATGAAATATCTAAAATTTAAAAAAGGTTTACTATTTTTAAAAAAAAATATCAACCCATAGTTCAATTTAAGATTTTAGTGTCTGTTAAGGTAAAGAGAGAGTGAAAATATTGATTTGGGATGTGGCCTGTGGGTTAATTGTTAAGTAACGAAATTATTAGGTATGTCCTCTATGAAATATCTAAAATTTAAAAAAGGTTTACTATTTTTAAAAAAAAATATCAACCCATAGTTCAACGCTCAACAGGGATATTTAATAGAAAGAAAAAATAATAAAAGGGATGCAAAGAGGAGGAAAAAGAAGGTGAGAGATCTGGAATGGAAGATTGAGGATGGATGGATGGATGGAAGATGAAGGATGAATGAATGAATGAATGATGAGTTATGAATAGAATATAGGAAGAAGGAGTGGGTGTTGCATAAGAAATGGAGAGACAATTATTATTAATTTGTGGGAATTTCTATGGTGTGGTGACAATATAAATTTTTTTTTTTTTTATTAAAGCATTTACTGATGATATTTTAAGATAATTCAAAATATTTATATTTAATATTTTATGATGTATTCTTTCTGGTCTTTTATCTTTTATAATATGTTTAATTTAGTATTTTAATAAAGTATATTTTGTTAATTTTAATTAATAATTTTATAAATTTAAATTTATTTCACATTTACGTGTAAAATTAAATAGTTTGAATCACAGTTATATTTAATGTCATTACTCTTGTAAAAACATATTTAATGTCGTTATCAGTAATTTTAAAAAAAATTCATTAACAAGTGTAACTTGAAATTAAATTGTTAATAAATATATTGATAAGAGAAAACAACAATGAATATATTATATTTATTATACGATAATATTTTATTTATAGTTACGTTAGTTTACGTTAGTATATAACACTCTACTTTTCATAATAATTTAATAGAAGATTTTGAATTAATTAATCAAGAATAATTTTAAAAAATGAGAGCTTTTATAAAAAAAATATTTTATTTTTCATAGTTGAGTTATTATCTTTTAAAAATAAAGATAATTAAATTGAATTTTTGTTGACGAGTTATGCGGATAGATGAAGATTAGGATTTTTATTTAAATATGTTGGTAATTAAGTTTGTGTCAATTCAAAATTTAATCATATAGCTTGTGATATGAAAAAAAAAAATCAGAGATGGTTGAAAGAGAATTTGGTGAATTCGATTTAAGATTTTAGTGTCTGTTAAGGTAAAGAGAGAGTGAAAATATTGATTTGGGATGTGGCCTGTGGGTTAATTGTTAAGTAACGAAATTATTAGGTATGTCCTCTATGAAATATCTAAAATTTAAAAAAGGTTTACTATTTTTAAAAAAAAATATCAACCCATAGTTCAACGCTCAACAGGGATATTTAATAGAAAGAAAAAATAATAATAATATTTAAGAGTAGAATTTTGAGTATCTAAATTTATATGATGCAATATGCGTTGTTTGAAGTATCTTTAAAAAGTTTTATGTGTTTTAAAGTTGATTTAGTATGCTTAATAATTTTATACATGTAATTTGATATATGTAAAATTATGAAATTTGATTGGATTAATTATTTTTGGTTCATTATTTAATTATTTGCAACACAATTGATTTATTATACCTAAAGGGGAGATTTATGGATATTGGAAACAACAATTGTATTATTGATTGGAAAACTAGATAAATTGCAGAAGAAAGCCCCCTGTAACCCCAGAGCCATTGCTCCTTTGAGAAGAGATGATTCTCTCTGTCCAACCTCTAAGTTTCTAAAAGAAAAATGATACGGAAGGGATTCCCCCTAGTCATGTCCACTTCTTCTATATGCATTGCATCCTCTGACTAACTGACTTCAACGATTATAACTAATTCTGTATTCAGCTCAGCTTTTGGGCTTAGGCCCAAACCCAGTATCCTATCAATACGACAAGTTTGACTCTTGTCTTGACTAAGAAAGGAAGCCTGACATGCATCCAGAGTTGATGTGATTCGTACCTTAAGGACTTAATTCTGCAAGGCTAGGAACCATTTTTTAAAGCTTTGACCCTTTGATAAACTGAGGTGACCTAAATGGCTGTGAAGAAGACCGGGGAAATTCAGTAGTAGTGCAAACAATGGGTGGCATTGACTTGAGATGAACTTTTGAAATGTATAAATGTGAATGATAATTATGTGACCATGCATAAAGTTTGTATGACATTCTGTAACAAGTCCCACATCGGGGAGGTCTCCTCACCAAGGAGTCCTTATAAGGCCCTAAGGGGGTAGTGACAGATGGTGATCGGGCTATGAGGGAGGCAATTAGGCAAGTATTTCCTATTGCAACACATAGACTTTGTGCATGGCATCTACAAAAGAATGCTTGTCAGAATGTGACAAATTACAAATTTTTAGCTGATTTAAAAAAAGGCAATGTATGGTAAGTTTACCCCTGAAAAGTTTGAAACATTTTGGAAGGAAACGGTTAGTAGAAACCAGGTTGAAGGCAACAACTGGATTTTGCAAACATATGAAAAAAGGTGTATGTGGGCAAATGCTTATTGTAACACCCCAATTTTCACAAATTATACGAAGGCTCAAAGCCCGATAAGGGTGATTTAGTAGCCCAAAATGGGGCGTTCCAAACTACCAAAATGGCCTATAACCCTAGTTGGGAACGGGCCGTTCTGGTTTAAGAACAGGCCGTTCCAAACATGGCCGTTGTGAGTTAATCTCAACCCTAGAACGAGCCGTTCTGGTTTGAGAATGGGTCGTTCCAGATGCAAATTTTTACACATGATGAATAAGTCTAGAACGGGCCGTTCCAGATCCAAAACGGGTCATTCTGGCCACTCCTGAAATCTATAAATAGCAGACTCTGGCACTGCTTCTAGACACACTCTCTAAAGACCAAGGAGAACCAAGAGAAGGAGATCAAGCAAATTTCGCTCTAGCTTCGTCTTCTACTTATCCAGGTAAGGGGGGAGTGAGAAACCTTGCTCTAGATGTGAGAATATATGTTGGGTAGTGGGATTGGCCCCCAATCCTATATTTGTTGTATGCTCATTTATGAGGGATTTTCCTAATTATATATGTTTCTTCTATTTGCTCTTATATGTAAATAACTGTATGATTTGAGATCTCTATGGGTTCCTATGGGAAACCCTAAGGGAATGCATTGATGATTGTAAGAGGAGATTGTTTGAAGAGGTAATTGTATGAGTAAATTGTACTGTTTTAAATGTTCCGTGGGTTCTTGTGGGAACCCTATGAGAAATAGGCAAATTTCTAATATTTTTTGTTTTACCTTCTGATTGTTCTGTTATATTCCTTGTTGAATGGGATGTACGAATATGTGTTTACTTTCACAAATAGACAAGTTTTGATAATTAAAGTGTTCTGTGGAGACTATGTGAATATGATGAGATAATGTGAAATGTGAATATGAGACATGAGGATATGTGATAATGTTACATGACGATGTGATATGATAATGAGGCATGACGATGTAATATGAGAATGCATAGAGTCGTGGTTGACATGCATCATTTGCATAAATGTTTTTAAGGGTACAATATGGAATACACCGCCAGGGAAGGCCCCTTGTGTAAAAGCGTGGGGATTAGTCCTTGGGGATAGCTCGGTTTGTAAGTCTCAGTCTTGCCCTACGAATTGTTACATTTGGAATCAGTTACTAGTAGGGGTGGGTATATGGACTCAAGCCTGTGGACCGATTTGTTTAGCTTGCAGCCCGTGCGAATACAGACCCAATTTTTTAAAATCCATATAAGTATAACAAAGTTTCTGGCTCGGCTTGTAAAGTCTGCGAATCCTGCGGGTAGGCAGTGTAAGAACAATAATGCTATTGTGCGTTTTTGTACATTCCTTCCCCCCCCCCCTTCTTTTCCAACCTTGATGTTTTTGTTAGTATGTGTAAACTTTGCTTTTCAAGAGTTTGATTTATTATTAACAATTTTTGATGTTGTTACAAATATATTTATATCAATTTTTATGTATTTTTTCCTTCATGTTTTCATAAGTTAAAAAAGGAAAATAAAGTTCATTATTTTATCAATATTTATTAAAAAAAAATCAAACATAATTGGGTTTGCGGGTCAATCTTTTTATTTGTGGGTTGGACATGGATCCCAAAAAATAGTCCATTTATTTTGTAGGTTAGGCTTATCTGGTTTATTAAAAATGTAGGTTTTGTGGGTCGGGTCTTAGAGAGACTGGGTATGTATATCCACCCATAGTTAGTATGTATGGAATGCATAATTGCTTTAACTTTTACCTGGGTTTCTTGAGATGGGAAAAAGGTATTATTATGTACACATTTTATTTATTTCTAGGTTGAAATTAACACATTTTATTTGAATAAGATTTAATTTATGTAAATTTTTACATAATAATTTGAACTGATCGTCAAGCCTAGTGGGGATTGCTATAATTTTCCGCATGTATTGAGTTTTGCTGCCCTCATGCGATGAGATATTTAGTGTTACTCGACATTTTGTTTGTTGGGTGGGGAAATTTCTTGACACTTTCTTCCAAGTAAAATAATACTATACTGAATAGAAAATAAAAAGATGAACAAGAGTACAACAGAATAATATTTTGGCAAAAATTAAAAAAAATGGAAATGAATACTTTTTGGTCAAAAAAGAGAGAACAGAACAGAATATTTACGTTGTTAAGGGTCACGATTCTATAAACGGTGTCTGTTCATAAATAGTACATAGTTCATTCTTCATGCATCAAACAAAGGCATTATTATTTTATGAAAATGAGAATATTCAGTTTGATAAATACTACTCAATGAAGAAGTAAAACGTTAAATAACTATAAAACACGTGTTGCGAAAGTATATGTCAGAAGTAAATATAATTGGGGATAGGTTCAAGTTCTAAATACAAAAGGTTGTACCGTGGGCTCGGCCCAAACCATGTCTTGTGAGAGTATTGCTATTAAAATATATAATTTTTTTAATTTTAATTTTTACTAGTATTTTAATAAGTTAAATATTTATTATATATAATTAAAGTTTTAAATAAACCATGTGTATAAATAAATTTATGTATAAATATATAAATTATATTTAAATAAGTAGGTATTTTTCAATTGCTTAAATATGTTTTTAAACCATCAAATTTGGGTTATATGTTTTTTAATCTTTCAAATTTAAAATTTGTGTTTATAGTCTCTCTAATTTCAAAATTTATTTTGATCTCTTGAATTTAAAAATTGTGTTTTTCGTCTCTAACATATCAAAATTTATTATTTTAGTATCTTGATTTGTCATTATTAGTTATGATATTGATAACAAATAATATTTGTTGATATTTTGGAGATTAAAAATATGTTTTATATTTTAGGGACCAAAACATATTTTTTGAAATTATGGAGACTATAGATACAGGTTTTAAATTTGAGAAACTAAAAAAATATACACTCTAACTTTGAAGAATTAAAAATATAATTAAGTCTTTTTAAATATATAAATTATATTTTAGATTTATAATAAATAAATTATTTTAATAAAAAATATTTTAATTTATTAATAACTTATTTTAAAATATTAAAATTTAATTTATAAATAATTATGATAAGTAAAAACTAAATTAGATATGAAGTTGAAAGAGTCTACAAATACTCTCGTCGAAAAAAATCTTTAAAAAATACTCTCACATAAGATAATTGTTTGTGTTTTTTATATAAGAGTTGACATGTTAGTATTTTAACAAATAATTGATGGAAAGATACAAATTGCCAAAATTTAATAGTTTTCAAGGTGTAAATTATAAGAAAAATTTAGGTAGTTTTCTTAAAAATTATATTTTATTTTCAATTTATGAATTGATTTTCTAAATTTATTTATACTAAAATTATAATTTAAATGTAATATTTTAGGCATAAATTAATATGAATAGAATATAATTTAAATTAAATTAAAATATTATTTATTACTTACTAACTTGTTTTCATGAACAAATCAGGTTAGTAAAATATTCATTATGAACTATATGATAAATAATAGTAACAATAATAATATAATATATTAATTATCAATTTTGGTTTATCTTTGGAAACACAAATTTCCCATAATTTCACCGGCTTTTATTTATAAAAAAAAAGTTTTTTTTTCATAAAAAAAACTCAATGTCTGAAAAAATAGATTAAATTTATAAAAGTTTTTTTTAACATTAGTTGTTTTAATGAATTTGAATACTTCAAGCTTATGAGTAGTTTTCAACAGTTTTTTTTTATCTTCTAAAACTTATTTACTATATAAAAATTGATTTTTTGGTTGTATCCAAACAAAATTAAACATTTCAAAATCATTTTTTAGTCAATTTATACAAATAAAATTCATTCCGAATATAATCAATTATAACAATAACCTTTAATACTATAGATTTTTACTTTTGTGCATGCTTGTATGATTTTAATGACTTATGGTGCTTTAAGTTGTTATGTTGAATTTTTGTAGTTGTTTTATAGAGCTATAAAAGTTAAGGAATCATTTAGAATTAAATATTTTAGAAATGTTTGTTTTGCTAAAATTTATGATACAAGATAGGACAAAAATAATTATTTGGTATTTAATTTATAAAAGGGTCATACAGTTTGTTATTGAATAAGTCATGGGACAACATTTTTGTCTCAAGTACAAAAACACTCACTACTAAGTTATTGTACTAATACTTCTCTAATCCCTACCCATTGTTACCTAACACCATCACCACTGTTGCAAAACCCATTGTCATAGGCACAACCCACACCACACCCCCCCCCCCGCCACTACTATGTCTCGATTCCCATCGTTGTTGTCACTACCACTACTATTACCATTACCACAATTGTTATTGTGGTTATATTCTTGTCACCATCTCTCCCATTAAGATGATAATAATGATTCATTATGATAATTAATATTGAAAATATATTATTGTTTGAGTTATCCATTATTCACCAAACAATATTTAGAATGAAAAATTGTCCGATAACATGCACATTTGTCTTATGTTATTCTTTTTGTTATGTACCTTTATGTGTATCAAGCACATCCTTAGAGTTGTTTAAGAAAATGTCAATATTGAGCAATAATGGAGGAAGATATATGAAGTTTTCAAAAAAAAATGAATTTCATAAATTAATTTCTCAGTTTCTAGAGAGAAATCTTGTAGATAGGACCTTTGAAGCAAAAGAAAATTATTTCTTCTTTTGGTTTCTCCAAGAGTGACCTTATTATCTTCCCCTAAAGCTAAGTTGAAGTTGTAGAAGTTGAAATTTGACCTTGAGGAGCTTGAATTGCTAGAGAGAAGTTTACCTTGGAGGGTTTCGTAGTTCTTCCCTTTCTCCTTCGATTTCTTGTTTTCAAGAAGCAATCAATGACACTCTTCTACCCTAAAATATTTTTATAAAAGATTATTAAGAAAAACAAGTTTAATTTAAAAGATAGTACAAACAACTAACTTAATATGCATCATAAAAGGGTTCACGTGTTGTTAATAAAAACTCTTTAGGAAAGATGTAAAAAAACATAATTATAAGTTCTTAAAACAAGGCACAATTTGATCTTTTACAAAATTTTTAAAATCCATAAAACATCATAACATAAATTGAACTCCATCTATTACTAAGAAAGCATAATAAAATCATCTAGTCTTGATGTAATATTATCAAAGTAAGATTAGTTATCGAACATTTTTCTCAAAGATGATTTACTTCTTAAGGTCGTGAAAATGTCTTTTGTGACACCCTTACTATCCCAACACATATATTGTAATAATATAGATAAACTAAGGAAATCAAATTTTCAAAATAGGTAAAAGGGTTCACATAAAACCTTTAGAAACATTCTTCAATATCCAAAATATTGTGAAATGAAACTTGGAAAATAAAACATAAGAAATTACAAAATGTTTTCAAAATAATAGGTTCAACTCCGTATACAAATACAATTCATGTCCTAGAAATTCTCTGCCCCGATGTCACAATATCAGAGCATACCCATAAATCAACTGTTGACATTCTAGATGTCACTCATAGCCGGATCTTCCTCACCTAAAACATCCACAAATTGTACGGTGAGAAAAGAAAACATCTATATATAAAGCACATAAGGAAAATGCAACATATCGTCTCATTATGACTCTGTACTTAATAAAATATTCATAAACATTTCAACATATCATAACTCGATCATTCATACATCATCGTCACGTCATAATTCGCAATCACACCAATCATCACAAATCTTGCACTTCACACTATGCCAAGGTCACGTTACCCATTTAACAATCCAAGGTCGTGCTCACCCCTGATATAACACTGTGCCAAGGTCACGATTCCCCTGTAGCATATCTAGCTCAGGGTCGTGCTCACCCCCAACATGTTATTCAAGGTCACGATACCCACATAACAATCCAAGGTCGTGCTCACCCCTGATATAATACTTAATAAAATATTCATAAACATTTCAACATATCATAACTCGATCATTCATACATCATCGTCACGTCATAATTCGCAATCACACCAATCATCACAAATCTTGCACTTCACACTATGCCAAGGTCACGTTACCCATTTAACAATTCCAGGCCGTGCTCACCCCTGATATAACACTGTGCCAAGGTCACGATTCCCCTGTAGCATATCTAGCTCAGGGTCGTGCTCACCCCCAACATGTTATTCAAGGTCACGATACCCACATAACAATCCAAGGTCGTGCTCACCCCTGATATAACACTGTGCCAAGGTCACGTTACCCCCAACCCAGGGCCGTGCTCACCCCTGACATGTTAACCAAGGTCACGATACCCATGTAACCATCACGGGTCGTGCTCATCCCTGATATAACACTGTGCCAAGGTCACGTTACCCCTAACCCGGGGCCGTGCTCACCCCCAACATGTTAACCAAGGTCACGATACCCATGTAACAATCTCGGGCCGTGCTCACCCCTGGTCATAGGTGTGAAGAACCACAATCACATCACAATCCACACAATTCTTACAATTAACATTATGTCAAGGCCACGCCACAACTGACATAAGTGATACTGTTAATTGTCTCACTCATCTCACATCATGTCAGGGTCACGCCCTCCCTATAGCATCACTTACCCAGGGGTCGTGCCATCCCTAGTCATTGATGTGAGAAACCACAATCACAATCATAATCACATCCATACAACATCTCATCTCATAGCTCAATTTCATATCACATACACAATTCCATATACACAATAGATAAGTCCAACAAAATAAGAGTTTACACACCCCTCAAGCAATTCACACCTAGATCATCAATTCTTATCAAGTAATATAACAATAACATTCATAAATTAATATAATAATCAATGAAATTACCAATTAATATAATCTTAACATAAATGGTAAAACCCCAAATTATTCAAAAACCCAACTCACATGCACTTTTTTACAATTTCGTTCTTTCTCCTAAATCATCATTCTTACAAACTAAATATATATTCATAATCCTAAATATATACAGAATCACATAAGACCAATAATTCTCCAAACAGAAGTAATTATAAAATTACTCATAATCTTACGGGCTTCCTCTTCTATCCAATTCCTTCATGTAACTTTGCATACAAATAATCCCCTTTTCCCTCGTACCTGGATAGACAGCAGTTGAACTAAAACAGGAATCTCTTGGTCTCCTCCTCTAAATGCAAATATTCAAAAGCTATAGTTTATTTATTATTAAATATCAGCGCTTTTGAATTATTATTTTCAATATCAAAACAAAAAGCTTAATTTGAAGTTGGATACAAACCGCGACCCTAGTAGCCGCTGCACCAACAATTGCACTCCCTGGTGAGAGCGACACACAGAGGTAGGTTTCGTTCTCCTTTGAATCTGTTCCTTCACATTGTCTTGAATCTTGGCACATTCCACAATCGCTCCGTTCTTCAAATCAGCGCAGAGAAGAGGGTTTGTGTTCCGATTGAATGGCGAGCGAAAAGGAAAACGGGGAATTCTACCTGCGTTACTACGTTGGGCACAAGGGGAAGTTCGGGCACGAGTTCTTAGAGTTTGAGTTTAGACCCGACGGAAAACTCCGTTACGCGAACAACTCCAACTACAAAAACGACACCATCATTCGCAAGGAGGTTTACCTCACCCCCGCCGTTCTCCGCGAGTGCCGCCGTATCATTGCCGAGAGCGAGGTAACCATAACCCTAAGCAACTCTTTATTGTCATTTTGAAAATAACTGATTGATTGTGCAGATTATGAAGGAAGATGATAACAACTGGCCAGAACCTGATAGAGTGGGGAGGCAGGAGCTGGAGATTGTAATGGGGAACGAGCACATATCCTTCACCACCTCCAAGATTGGCTCTCTATTTTATGTTCAGAGTAGCGCTGATCCTGAAGGGCTTCAGATCTTTTATTATCTTGTTCAGGTGAGTGGGATTGTGATTTGCATCTATAATCATGGCTGTGAACTGTTTTTTGAAACATTCACAGCATTCTTGGGCATTCTTGGGACACGCTCCTATGGTTCATTTCTGTTGGTGTTAAGTAATGTTTGGTTTATTCTTTTTTATATCTATTGTTTGCAGGATTTGAAGTGCTTTGTCTTCTCTCTGATTTCACTTGACTTCAAGATCAAGCCTATATAAGATGTGTTTGCAATATTATGCGTTCATCCCTCGGGATTGTGTACTTGTTCATCAGCTACTCCTTTTGCTAATTGGCTTCAACGTCTGATAACTTGTGTTTTGGTTCTGTATTGCTGGTTACACACTTTCACAACCCTTTTTGCGACGTTGATGCTTTTGTTAAAAGTTTGCTTTTTAAGTGTTTGATTTATTAACAATGTATGATATTGTTAATGAAATGTGTAATTGTTTTAATTTTTACTTGGATTTCTTGAGATGGAAAAATGGTATTATTATGTAGACATTTTTTGAGTCAAAATTAACACATTCTATTTGAATGAGATTTAATTTATGCAAATTTGTACATAATGATTTGATCTGATCGTCAATCCTAGTGGGAATTGCTATAATTTCCATATGAACTGAGTTTTGCTGACAAAGGGTGTTGGCAGATTATAAGAATTATTCTGAACTTAATAAACATGTAAAGCAAAAGGCTTATGCCGGTTCACTGAAAAATCGTCCTGACAAGGCTGGTGGGAGTTTACTTAGAGCACAAGGAACAGATGGCTCAGGTATAAGTATAACCTCTACGAAAGATGCTAGCACTAGAAGTGCTTTTGCAGAGAGGGCCAGGGAACCCTTACCTTCCAAAGGAAGAAAGGAGCTTATCAGCCTTGTGCAAGATTCTAGGCAATGTGCAAACAACAGTTCAATGATAGGTCCTCCCTCTCAAAGGAAAAGGGTCACTGCCCTGTCAGGCATGGTAGATGGCAAAAAATTTTATACTATCCCGATGCCTCTGCATTCATCTACTATCTCTAGGGGGTTATTGAGAAGCAAAGGTATGACTCTAATTTCATAACTTGAGTTTTGAGGAGAGTAATTGATACCTTCAGCAATACTAACCGTTGATGTGCTATGCAAGAGATGGAAAACAGAAAAAAGAAGGTTCATGCTTTGGAAACAAAGGATTTCGTGCCCCAAAGGTAATATCTTGTTGCCGAGCTGCAAGCTACAAGGAGGGATCTTATGAGGGCTCGAAAGTCTTTGGAGATTGCTCTAAAGGCTAATGAGGTTTATGCTACCCAAGTGGGCGAGTTGCAAGAGCTTGCCACTTCTTCTCGGGACCGAGTGCGCTCTCTGGAGGATGAGGTCTCATCGCTGAAGGCTGACCTGGCAGAAACGGCCAAGAAGCGTCTCTACGACCAGGTGCTTCTTGTGGCAAGGAGGAGGAGGTCAGAGCTCTGAGGGCAGACCTGGAAAAGATGGCCGAGGCTAAGGCAGGATCAGAGAGGAGGCTCGTCGAGACCGAGCGAGCTGTCTTGTTGGAGCACAAGAAGGGCTTTGTCAAGGTAGTTCGTCAGGCGAGGTTGCTTAACCCTGGGGACGATCTCTCTGCTATGCATGTGGAGAAAGAGGTGCGAGCTGGGCGGCTGGTATAGGAAGACGACCTCCCTGACAGCTCGAGCGAGAATACTACTGCCTAGGCCGTTATCTTTTGTAATAACTTAGTTTATTTTGTTCATTTTTCTTGCTTTCTGAACTTCTTCTTTGTATTTGACGAACTTGTGTATATAATTTGCCTTTTCTGAGTTTGCGTCTTGTGCTTTTGATGGTTATATTTTGGCCTTTGGCTTTGCGCTCAGGATTGAGTTCAGTTTTAGGCTTAGTTGTAGCCCGTTTTTGAGGTTTGAAACATGTTCGAAACTTGTTTTGTATTTTGCGTTTTTGGGGAAAATAATTTGCACCCAGGTTCGAATTCGACCTTGGCTTAGCGTTAATTTGCACTAAGGTTCGAATTCGAACTTGGCTTATCATAAAGTAATTCGCATCAAGGTTCGAGTTCGACCTTGGCTTAGCATCAAGTAATTCGCACCAAGGTTCGAATTCGACCTTGGCTTATTGTAAAGTGATTCGTACCAAGGTTCGAATTCGACATTGGCTTATCATAGTCGTACCAAGGTTTGAATTCGTCCTTGGTTTATCATAAAGTTATTCGTACCAAGGTTCGGATTCGACCTTGGCTTAACATAAGGCACTTCGTACCAAGGTTCGAATTCGACCTTGGCTTAACATAAAGTAATTCGCACCAAGGTTCGAATTCGACCTTGGCTTATTGTAAAGTGATTCGTACCAAGGTTCGAATTCGACCTTGGCTTATCATAGTCGTACCAAGGTTCGAATTCGACCTTGGTTTATCATAAAGTTATTCGTACCAAGGTTCGAATTCGACCTTGGCTTATTATAGTGTAATTCGTACCAAAGCAGTGTAAAATTGAGAAGCTATGAATGGAATGAGTCATTTTATTAATGTCGTGGGTGTGCCTCGTTAAAAATCCTCTCAGCCAAAACCCAGTTTTTTATTTTTTGGAACAAAAGACTGAGTCGGGAAAAGAGTGCACAACTTATTTGTACAATTTCAACTGAAGTAGAACTTGAGATGCGTGACATTCCAAGTTCGTGGGATGGCTTTGCCGCTAAGCTCTTCTAGTCAGTATGCTCCATTTTCTAAGTCTTTTGTAACTCGAAATAGGCCATCCCAGTTGGGCGCGAGCTTCCCTTTTGATGAGTCTCTTCGTGCTTCTTCATGGATTCACGCTTCTTCTCTGAGCTCGTCAATCAGGTCAAGGATGACCGCCGCTTCTTGAGCGTTTTGCTCATTGTCAAAGGCGTGACGTCGATGAGACGTCTCGCCGACCTCCACTAGGATCATGATATCAGCTCCAAAGGTCAGCCTGTAAGGCATTTCCTGCGTTGTTGACTGGGGGGTACAGTGGTATGCCCAGAGGATGCTAGGGAGCTCGTCGGCCCATTGTCCCTTGGAGCTTCCTAGTTGCTTCTTGAGTTCTCGGAGTATTACTTTGTTTGCGACTTCGGCTTGGCCATTGGCTTAGGGATGCTCCACCGAGGTTGGGAGGTGCTTGACTCGGAGCTCACGGAGGAAGTCCTCAAAGCTCTGTGCGATGAACTGCTTGCCGTTATCGGTAACAAGAGAATGTGGGATGCCAAATCTACATATGATGCTCTTCCAGGTGAATTTCTGTACATTCTCGGCGGTGATCTTGGCGAGCGGGCATGCCTCGATCCACTTGGTAAAGTAGTCGATTTCCACTAGAAGGAATTTGAGTTGACCTTTCGCGGGGCGAAAAGGCCCGAGGATGTCCATTTCCCACTGGGCAAAAGGCCACGGTGACATCATCTGGTGGAGGACTTCGGGCGGTTGCCGATTTGTATTGCCGAACTGCTGACATTCCTTGCATCTTTGCACATAAGCTTGACAATCCGACTTCAGTGTAGGCCAGTAGTACCCAGCTCGTAGTACCCTGGTCGCCATCGAGCGGGCCCCAGAATGCATCCCACAGATCCCTCGGTGGATCTCCTCGACGACATAGGTGGCTTGGGACTCTGCTAGGCATTTCAGTAGGGGAATGGAAATGCCACGTTTGAACAAATCATTGTCGATGATGATGAATTTGGCTGACCTAACCCTCATCTTTCGAGCTTTGTCTTTATCCTCAGGTAGAGTTCCTTCCTTTAAGTAGTTCCAAATATCTATCATCCATCCTCGTTCTGCGCTTTCACTGACGTTGACGATCTTGTCGTCTAGGCTGGGTGAGTTCAAAGTCTCCTGTATGATGGTTCGATGTTGCCTGGGGCATTTTGTGCTGGCGAGCTTGGATAAGAGGTCGGCACTGACATTCTGCTCTCGAGGAATATGGTGTATTGTGAACTCATCGAAGGACGAGATCTTCTAGGATGCTGTATGTAAGTATCTCTATAGAAGGGTGTTCTTGGTCTGGTATGCCCCGCTGAGTTATTCTACCATGAGCTTTGAGTCGCTGTTGCAACTCACCCTCTACGCTATGAGGTCGCAGGCCAACCTTAGCCATGCTAGAAGTGCTTCATATTCCGCCTGGTTGTTGGTCACTTTGAAGTCAAACTTGAGAGATTGCTCTACGGTGACCTTATTCGGCCCATCCAAGATAATACCAGCACCACCACCTTTAGAATTGAAGGACCCATCAACATGTAAAGTCCATACCTGTTGTTCCGCAATCGAGGTTGGGGTGAGTTCGGCCATGAAATCTGCTAGGCATTAAACTTTCAAGGGTCCGCGACTTTCATACCGGATGCCAAACTCGGATAATTCGACTGACCATGTGATCATGCGCCTGGCGAGCTCCGGTTTTCTCAAGATCTACTTGATTGGGTAGTCGGTTTTGACGACCACCTGATGACTTTGAATATAGGGTCGGAGGCGCCGAGCTGCGGTGACGAGTGCTAGTGCAAGCTTCTTGATTTTCTAATACCATTTTTTCGTGTCTTGAAGGACTCAACTGATGAAGTAAATGGGCGTTTGTACCCTTTGGCGTTCTTGCACTATGACTGCTCTGATTGCCCCTTCTGCCACTGCCAAGTAAAGGAGTAGGTCGGCGTGATGATCTGGCCTCTATAGGATTGGTGGGGTGGTGAGGAAAACTTTGAAGCTTTTGAAAGCTTCTTCGCATTGTTCGGTCCACTCAAAGTTCTTCGGCTTCCGTAGTAGGGTGAAGATGGATCCTGCTTTCTCTGCCAACCTGGGGATGAAGCGAGAAAGGGAGACTAACCTTCCTGCCAAACGTTGGACGTCCTTTACAGTCTGCGGGCTCTGCATCTGTATAATGGCTTTGCACTTCTCCGAGTTAGCTTCAATTCCCCTGCTGGTGATCATGAAGCCAAGAAATTTACCTCCCTGGACACCAAAGACCCACTTCTCTAGGTTGAGGCGCATGTTGTGTTTTCTGATCTGGCTGAACACCTCGGCTAGGTCGGCGACATGAGCCTCGATCGAAGTGGTTTTGACCACCATGTCATCGACGTAGACTTCCATATTTCGCCCAATCTGCTGGTGAAAAACTTTGTCCATCAGCCTTTGGTAAGTGGCTCCCGCGTTTTTAAGGCCAAATGGCATCACGCGGTAGCAGAAGTTGGCGTGGTCAGTGATGAACGACGTGTGCACCTCATCCGGTGGGTACATCATGATCTCGTTGTACCTAGAGTAAGCATCCAGAAAACTGAGGAGGGCGTGCCCGGATGCTCCATCGACCAACCTATCGATGCTGGGTAAGGGGTATGAGTCTTTGGGGGCATGTTTTATTCAGGTCGGTGTAGTCGACACACATACGCCACTTTCCCGAGCTCTTTTTAACAAGTACCACATTCGCTAGTGACGTGGTATGCTGGACCTCTCTGATGAACCCTGCCTTTATTAACTTTTGCGTCTC